CACGGTTTGGCCCGTATGCATGCTTATCTGCATTTCCCATGGAATTGTACAATCAATGGCATATGCATTCTTGTTATATCCGGATGGCTGAATGCTATTCATATATAACAATGATATACAGTGATGCCATCTGTTGATAACATTAACGAAACACAATGTTAGTCGGACAGTCCACAAAAGTAATGCATGTGTCCTACAAAACAATCGACTTTTTTAGTGAAACTTTAAATGCAGAAATTTTCCTATATGGAAACTGGAGTACCATCATCTGGGATCTGACGCCGTGTAGACCGGTGTAAATTCATCGAAGTTTCTAAGAAACGTAGATCTACAAAATAAAGCGAACAAAAAAATCAAACAAAAAATACAAACCTTCATAAAAATGAAAACGTTGCTACTGAAATGCTATTTCACGCACACACGCATGTTATCTATCATTTTAATTATACAAAACACCGTTATTTCAAACAGTAAACTTTACTGTTGACCCTTTTAAACTTCTGAGCTTATTTTATGAATCGCCTGCTTTAACATACTAAAACTCTGTATTTTGTCCACAGAGTGTATTTATGTGTTCCGTGTGGTTTTCGCAACAAACAGAGTTTGCTTCCCCGAACAAAATTACCGGTTGGTCTTCGCAGGGGAGACGTAATGTGTTTCCTCTGAGGTACGAACTGAATTCTTATATACGAGTATTATTCATATTTTACTACGAATCTACCAATATGATAAAAAAAAGTGGGTATTACGTATGGTAAAGTCGAATATTTGGGTCGGTAAACATGAAGGAGGCCGGTCACTGTAGCCGAGCGGTCTAAGGCATGCACTGTCTTCGCTCGCTCGGAAGCCGGGATCGTGGGTTCGAATCCCACTCAGGGAATGGATGTTTGTGTGCGTTTTTCTGTGTTTGTGTACAGGTAGAGGCCTTGCGACGAGCTGATCACTCGCCCAAGGAGTCCTACCCTACATGTAAGATCTAGTAAACCGAAGTGAAACGGAGAGTTTCATGGAGGTAGGCCTAGGCCCAAATTGGGGCTGTAGCGCCACAGGAAAAAAACCTGAAGGAGAGAGAGAACTTCGAAGACATGGCGCTTACTAGAGGATAATATGGATCTTAGATGAAGATAATGGGACGATGTGGACTGGATTGATCTGGCTGAGGATAGGGACCGGGGGCGTGCATTTGTGAACACGGTAATGAACTCTCGAGTTACACGAGGTGCGGAGAATTCCTTGACTAGTTAAGTGTTAATTAGGTTCTCAAAAATGACTCTGCTTCATGCAGTTAATTAACTAACTGGTTATTGACTGATAAACTGCTGCTGGTCCTCGCCAGCACAGTGATTCTTGGTTCTGAGTCCCACGGGACTTATGACCAGATTGTCACGTACAATGGTTGGCGTGACTAATAATAGTGAGTTCTGAATTTGTACCAAGTTTCATAAATAATAGGAATTCAGAAGTTCATACACAAACAACGGCGAGTGTGCTTTCATTTTTAGCCTACTTTCCTTATTTTGAAAAAATTAAAGTAGGCTTATAAGGGCCAATCTGTCTTATTTATCGAAAATAAGGAAAGTAGGCCAATAGAAATGTAGATATCCTTTCATCATGGCAACCGAACACCCGACACCGGGGGAGACCCAGTTCTCGCACTATCGTTCAGATAATGGGCACTACATAATGTGAGGTTTGGCTAACGAACCAGATTTTAAGAAGACGCACTGAGGCACTGAGGTTTGTGGAGTCACAGGGGTGTACATGCAACATTCATTACGTGGCCACTCTGTCATGATGTCGATAGTTTCTCTGCTACGGTCACCGGCAGACCGGAAGTGCGGAGAGGTGCAAGAGATAAGACAAGACTACGAAAACACAACGTAAGGATGGATGGCAGGAGAGAAGGTAGGTCAGACTCCCAGTCTGGGCAAGTTTGCAGACGAACACACTCCACCAGCTATTTCAACGGAGTCATCAATCGTCAGTTTGATGGTGTAATTTGATAGACGGAATTCTGAACATGCCGCTTTTACTGTGCACCGCACCATCGCTGTGGCCTACGCTAAGCAGCCTCGAACGCGGCTCCCGAACAAAGAGACTGAAGGGGCAACACGGCGCGGGAGCAGACATGCTTCAGGCGGGCTTGCCTGAACGCCGGTTGGTGTGGTTCCCGCACATAATCGCAAAGAGAGCCAACTGAACATATTGTCCGTCCTTCAGAACCATCTCATTGTTGCCGAATTGTCTGAGCGCATTTGCATAATGACTTCATTTTAACTGCATTCCTTATTCAGCAGCATATGACAGTATGACTGCGAACATTCCTGTCTGCAGGAACACAGATGTCAGCAGTAAGCCTTTTGCCTTCCCCCACTTTACCCCCAAACTGACATCTCTGTCCCGACAGCCAGTGCACGGCACCGGCAGCAGCGTCGAATTGTAGAACGGTAGATGACTGGCGAATTGGAAGGAACCTGTCATGGTCTATCGAGGCATTATCCACGAATTTGACCGGAGAGCCGAGGAAAAATGTGTGGAAGTGGACATGGCCTATTTTAAAAGAAGTTATTTTGTCTCAGCACTTGTATGGACCAACTGAGGAAACTCTCGTGAAGCCTGTGAGCCAACCGGCCTGCGGTCCCCATGTAGACATTGTAAGCTTTCTCTGGTTCCGCTTGGTACGGATATTTCGCATGCTGAGATTTTCCTCAGTCGATCCAAACCACGGGGGTAAAAAATCAGAAAAAGACCGTGCCATAGTGGACGCCCTCCACCTCGTTGCTAAAGCATCATACAAAACCAAACATTTACTATAAAAAGCATTCACCATTGACTGGGTGCACCTTAGGATTCCGAAGGGTAAGAATGCGCATTAGAGCAATATGCTATCGGAATCATTACGCGCTGAACTTAACGGGGTTGTTACGAGGAGCCAATTGGGAAATAGCAGAGCGACTGTGTGTCCTCGTCAGTATTCGAACCTATACCTCATTATATCTGATGACGTCACAGTGATCACAGCACAGCAAAACAAAACTCCGATTCGCAAACGCCATGTCTGAAATTAATTCACCAAACCAAACGATCCATTTCTTGAAGAAGTAGTCTTTTGGGATTTGGCACCGTGTATAAGTGGTGTTAACCACTGTGTATATTCCCAAACAGTCTGCTTTTACCGGTTCTCACGGTCTCTTCGCTTGCAGAATTCTTATTTTCTTCTACCCTGAAGATGGAGGCGATACGTTCCTCCGAAACGTCGGTTAACACCACTTATACACGGTGCCAAATCCCAAAAGACTGCTTTCTTCATAGTCACCGCCGTGAAAGCCTCAAATCTTACACGATCCATTTTACAGCTATGTCGACAGCTAGACCGATCTAGACTGCACGGCGTCAAAGCGTTGGTTGCCTGATAAATCGGAAACTGGAAGGAAGTGTTTTTCTCTCATCGCGGTACTTTCCCAGCATCTGCCTGGAGTAACTGAGGAAAACGTTAGGATATGAATTTTGGTCGAGTAATGTTAACGCATTTTATGCTTAAATAAAATAACTGCAATGTTTTACGGAAAAACGGACGAAACCTCAGATAGCCTTCAGCAGGCGCACATGCCCCGGGCCAACAGCTACACATAGTCATAATGATCTCCGCAAGGTGGTATTTCCTACCGAATTGCCGCGCCATCTGTCAGCGCTATGTTGTACTATTTCACTGGCTCAATCATATTCTGCACCAGTACCAACAAAAGTCATGCGTACCAACTGCTTTGGATTTAAAACATGTTTTGGGAAGATCACTGTAAATTTATAATACCAAAGACTTGTGAAATCACACAATATTTGGAACCGATAATGTAAAGATAATCAACACAGTCCCAATATAGATTTCAAGTACTACACACACAATTTTAAAATTATTTTCATTTCATGCTGAAACATTTAAAAAAAAAAGTCACACATTATTAAGCACCTCTTTCATATTAATATGTTCAAAAGTATGACCGAAATCCTTGGTTTCTAACAAGGGAGAAACATAGACTGAGGGTGTTTAGGAGAATATTTGGGCTGAAAAGAGATAAGTGACAGGAGGTTGGAGAAAACTGCATAATGATGAGCTTCATAACTTGTACTCTTTGCCAAGAATAATTAGAATGATCAAGTCAAGGAGGATGAGATTGGTAGGGCATGTAGCATGAATGGGGAGAAGAGGAATGTATATATAGGATATAGACTGGAAAGGCAGAAGGAAAGAGACCACCAGGAAGACCAACACATAGGTGGGTGAACAATATTAAAGTGAATCTTAGAGATAGGATGGGATGGTATGGACTGGACCAATCTGGCTCAAAATAGGAACCAATGGAGGGTTCTCGTTGACATGGTAATTAACCTTCAGGTTCCATAAAATGCTCGAAGTTCTCTAGAAGGGATCAGCTCCATGAATGATGACTAAGTCCGCACATGGCCATCCTTAACCTGTCACATGCAACACAGTGGTGTGAGGTGAATAATGCAGAGTAAGACTGAAGTACTCAAAAATATTGCAAATACCAAGTGAACCTGTGATTTTCTTGTATATTCTTTGTTGTTTTCTAACAGTAAACAGTTCATGATGTGTATGATTTTTAAATCATTTTATATATGACACATGATGGCGAGCAGTGCAACAGTTTAACGTAAATAACACACCTGAGGATGGCACAGTGATGCCGAAACATGTAGTGAAGTGACAAGTGAGGTTGTGTGCACTACAAGAGGGTAAATACATACACATCATGAACGTCAATCAGTGCAACAGGACCCTAAAATACAACATTAGTAAACAGTTGCTTATGCTGTTGGTGTTGAGACCACCTGCTTAGGTCAGGTTCCCTCAGAACTGACTCTGCATTTTTCACCCAACATTTTGCTGCTCACAAGGTAAGGAACTTCTTGTTATCAACTGCATTATGGAATGAAATGTAAAACTTTGGTAAGGAGATACATAATAAAAACAGACAGTATCATTTGTCACTGTCCCTAGAACAGGGAATTTAATACAGCAAATTACCAACTGTTCCACTTTACTGCATTGTAATGTTACATTATCATTTAAAAGATGCATAATTGAAGTATAGGAAAATGGTTAACTTGTTATTATACTAGAGTTCTGAGCAACAGAATTCCTTAAGAAAACCCTGAGGTTATGTTGCTGCATTACTTAACTATCAACCCTCACATCCCACAGTTTTCTACAGTTTATGGTGTACGCTCAATAATACAGGAATTGTTAACATTTTGGCAGGGACAAGAGTTTGTAAGCAAATTAAGGCCTTTCCCACATATTCAAATATTTCTCTTCTGAACTGAACAATTTCTAACATCCCACTCTTATGGGCCACCTAGGATGGGAGGATGAACGAATCAATTAACTGCGGTTCATCACAGTATGTACATATTTACACAAGAGGCAGGGTGTTATCACTTCCTAATACTAAGCCATCAAGCTGCCACAGCCGACAGGAACATTAGCTTCTACTTGCAGCTTCTCAATATAACAGTGTATTCTATTATCATATAATTAACCAATCAAAACAAAGGTACAGAAATTGCACACAAATTTATCAGTCTTACACTCTGGACCAACACTGCAGAATGAGAAACACTTACAGTGTACTACATGGTAACAATTGTTAGATTTGCTGACTTTACATCATCTGCAGCGAGTCCGATTAATTAATGAACACAGGTACCTTGTTATAGGTCTCAAAACTGAGATTTCATCTTAATGCAATCAGCCAATTTAACAGAGTGTAATCAATAGCACTTCTTCTAATGCCAATTGCTTTCTGAAGAATCGAGAAGAACGGTGAGAAAGTGGGCTAGATTGAGTGGGTTTCCAGATGGGAAATGCAAGGGGGGAAAGGAAAATTCTTAAATTCATCAAATTTACCATTTACCATGTTTTGGAACACAACTATCACAGAATCACAGAATACCTGAATTGGCATCATTATCAGATATGTGTTCTGCACTCATGAGTAACCACTGAAAATGGGTTACCTATCTCTAAGATGCCATCACAATCTAAAGTTCAATCCTCAGAGGCTACCATTATCTATCAGTTCATATATTTTCTTCTTTGCATTTCACATGCTGAAAACACTTAGTTTTCATTTATCAGGTCTCAAATACGGAAATATCTCACTGCAACTGTGGCCCTAGGAACAAAATTTTGTGTTGACTACTTAGAGAATTGGGATTCCACCATTTCAACAGTTTAGTGACCCAAACAGCCAACGTTTTCAAACCTCAGGTTACACAAAGTTTATCAAAAATCAACACTACATATGACACACACATAATATCTAGTACGTTAATTTCAAGTCACCTACAATTGAGCACATTACAAAAGTCTGTCCAGCTACATTACAGAAGAAATATGAAAAGTAACCAAATATTACAACAAAACATATTCACATATATACTGCAGCTTCTGAAAGTGTTCTATATTTAAATCATGGGCTATTAACTCCAGATAGTCCCTGTAAATGGCTACACATTCATCGCCAGAAAAACAAGATGATACCCATCCCTCTACTCTCGACTCACTGGTATTTCTTTCGGTTTCGCTTCTGGCTTATATGACGCTTCGATGCTCAGAACGCCGTCATTACCCAGAAAGGACTTCAATGAGGTGGGGTCCACTTCTTCCGGCAAAGTCATCTCACGTGTGAACTCCTGCTGAAACTTGCTACCGTCCTCTCCCTTCCTCTCCATTCTTGCCCTGATAACAAGGATGTTGTCTTTCATGGAGATGTTAATCTCCTCAGGTTTGAAGCCGTCCACATCCACGTTGACCCGGTAGACATCACCACGCTGTACAATGCCTTGGATGGGGATCGATCGAGGTAAAATTCGACGGAATGGAAAGTGGTCAATCACATCCCGCTCGAACCTCTCCAGTGCCTTGTCCATATCTCGAAAAACGGACCTCATGTCGGAAGGGCGATACAGACTCCAGAAATTGCGAATCACTGGCCCTGGATGCTGTTGGTTTACCAGAAATCCTCGCCATGGCACTATTGGGATTAGCCTCTTGCAGTGGTGGAACATGTTTGCTGTGATGACTGCAGTCGCAGATTTGAGAGGTTATGTTTACTCTTCAAACTGAGGTGTATTCGTTTCTATTTTATTTCCGTCTAAGTACGCCTTCAGCACAATTCACATAGCACATACGCTCACAACAACCCACTACTTACGAATGCCACTATTCGGCTGCGTTTCACTTTATATACATGCTTCACAAAATGTTTCCTAAAAACCGGGGCCTGTTACATCAGCTGACTAGAAGTTTGTAGTGGATGCCAGAACCGGCCAGAACATTCTTTCGTACGTCATTCAAACGACCAATGGGAGTTCAGGGCGGGCTATTTACGAAACATGATTCGTGCAACTTCTGTACGACACATATGATTGGTTGGTTTATTGCATGCGTAGAATTTTCGAGTTCTATTGACGAAATTTCGTCATTCATACTCTATTTTCCACGAGCCCCGACATGATATATTGCTGGGGGGATTCCCTAAAATGTGTTTATAACTTTACGGTCAAGCCGTTTAAGAATATTTTACGGGCATCATAGATTACGGGTATTCAGGATAGAACAATTCATTTTCCCTGGAATAATTTCTTTTGAAAGTAACATTTTATACACTTCCTTCTTTTATCGATTTTGTTTTTTTAAATTCCGGGGGCAATAGATGCATGGTCTAGCCTCGCCTGTGCCCCTGATGGTTACCAGTACTGAACAGACAGTTGAACAACGGCTGATATTGCAGTCAAACAAGACAAAACAGGAATGTGATTCATATCACATCTTGTAATGTGTTTTGTATCCAAATCACTGGTAACAAAACCCTAACGAGAGATTATGCGACATTATACCTGCCATGAACTCTTAGCATTGTTTCAAATATTCTAAGCATTTAAAATACGACGAACAAATACATTCCTGTCAATAATACCATGTACAATACACAAAATTACTTCAGTTTTAATTCCATTTTTCTTTCAATTGTATAGATTTCACTGAAATCTATACAATTGTATACATGTTGCTTTTTGTTTTGAGGGTATTTCAGTCCTTTTTTGTTGGAGAAATGCAAACTATTTCGTATAAGCATTTCCTTTCAAGACAGCGTAAAATATTACAATTGCATAATGAGGAGCTTCATAACTTGACCCTTGTCCAAGTCTAATTGGAATGGTCAAGTGAAAGAGGATGAGAAGGACAGTGCATGTAGCACGAATGGGGAGAGGTGGAATGCATATGGGATATTGGTGGGAGAGCGGGAAGGAAGGAGACGACTGGGAAGACCACGACGTAGGTGTGTGAACAATTTTAAAATAAATATTAGAGAGATAAGATGGGATGGTATGGATTGGATTGATCTGGCTCAGGATAGGGACAAGTGGAAGGCTCTTGTGAACACGGTAGTAAACCTTCGGGTTCCAAAAAAATATTGGGAAGTTGTTGACTAGCTGCACAATTGGCGACTTCTCTAGTAAACCTTCGGGTTCCAAAAAATATTGGGAAGTTGTTGAGTAGCTGCACAATTGGCGACTTCTCAAGAAGGGCTCAGTTCCATGAATGAGAAGAAGATTATAGGAGTGAACCCACATTACACATATTACATGATTAATAACTAACACTATGCAGCCGGGTCAGTCGCTCATCTATTCAAAAAATTCCCAACATTTTATAGAACCTGCAGGTTCATTACCGTGTTCACAAGAGCCCTCCTATGGTCCCTGTCAGCCAGATAAATCGAGTCCATACAACCCCATTCTACGTCTCTGATATCCATCTTAATATTATCCTCCCATCTGCGTGTAGGTCTTCTTAGAGCTCTGTTTCCTTCTGGATTTCTCACCTAATCTCCAAATGCCTTTCTCTTCTCCCCCATGGTGCTACATACCCTGCCCATCTCATTATGCTTTTCATACAATAAGCAATTTCATTTTAGACTTGACTGAGAACGTAACTGAGGGTGGTGTTTCTGTAAAAAGGAAAACTCCTTGATCAGCGAAATACTGAATTTATGGGGATGTCTATGCATGGGGAATATGTTTACAAAGACATGATTAAAATTACAATTTCACTAAGTTCATCCTGTTTCGCCAAAGAACGATGCACTCCCACAATTTCCACTTTCAAATTACCAGATATCTGGTCCGAAAATATTGACTTAAAAATTATATAATTACATTTCCACCGATATATAACGTCCCAATGCTATTTGTCTGGGGACATCTTTGGCAATCTCTGTAAAATTTTATATCTGTACACTGATGAAAGTAAACACCCGGAGCCTTTCAGTACTACAGGATGGAGTACAGCTAACACCAAACCGGTAGGTACAATAGATCACTGAAGGTCGCAGTTCGAGGCCCAGTTTTATGGCTCACCCCTCATACTGCTACTCATACTCAACACCAAACCGGAATGAGTCATACATCTTGTTTGGTGCACTTCAGAATCACCTGTTAGTTTCATCATGTCCGCCTGTTCGCGGGCACCAGCGCCTGTATTACCTGACCGATATTAATCAAATTTCGTTTCACAGACCTACACAAAATTCTATCAAGATATTTTCATTTCTAATTGCCACACTACTGACCGATATTAATCAAATTTCTTTTCACAAACCTGCACAAAATCCTATCAAGATATTTTCATTTCTAATGGCCACACTACTTACTACATAAATTAGCAATCACACGTACCCCTGAATCTTTGAAAAGTTCTAATGAAACTCGACGAGTTAAGTCGTGTAATATGAGAATTGCCGTGTATAAATTTCACTCGCTGCATGTCGTTCTGATACGATCATACTTTGGGGCCTGTACACAGAAAAGTTTCCTGGATGTAAGTTACATCGATCTTTAGAATTCATACGTCACGTGTTATACAATGCATGCACTGAAACTCTACCATTTCGAGATAACCACAAGCGTAAAACATTACTAATTAGGCGCCATCGAAATAGCTTTCCACCCTCCCACCACCACCCTTAGCCTGCTGTCCGTTCCGATTGCAGCACAGAAGCAGGCAGCTGCCACGAATAAACAAAACACAGGTTTAAAATCACAGACAGAGAGTGCTGATCCAAGTAATATACAGTTATGATGTTGATTTATCAGGAAATTATAATACCAGTCGAAAATGGAGGTACAGAAATGTCACGCTGTTAGTTTTCTCCATTAGCGCCCAAACACAATCCGCACCGCCGAACAGGGGACGCGCCATTCGTATAAACTGGCACTTGTGTGCCCGAAAGTGGTTTAAATTCTAATCGGCACACAGGCAATTAGAAGTGATACAAAACCAAATTTAGTTAAATTTACTACAATATGGACAAGAAATTACTGACAGACGAACATGCGGAAACTAACAGGCAGATGTAAGCACTACGCCATGAAGGCGTATGGGGGAGTGGACGAATAGACCACGTATTCTTGACGTCGGCACTAGTTGAAAGTGAGTGGTCAGCTTCACGCTTTGGCCACTTTACTCCAGAGGAAAGAGCCCCCGGTACAGTAGATAAAACTAACAGGATTGCCAAGCCAAAATGATTAGCGAATGAAACAGTTTAACCAAAATGGGGAGGGGGGTTGCAGTCACTGTAACAGTTATTTCAATTTCGGGCATGCACCGTTCTTTGTTTCACCCGCTCGCCACGGTGAGGCACAGGATATGAGCGGGGACCTGAAACAAAAGAAACAAACACAAAAACACACAACAACTGTAACGAACACAAATTGCAACTAATAACAAAATGAACACTGGATCCTTACCTCTGCTGGTGGCTTCTGTACCTTCTCTTCTGTAACACACTTCTGCATTCAAACGCACACTTCTTGACCCGAAGCGCTGTACGTCTGTGTACACAGATCGCGGAAAGCGCGGAACCGAGTGTTTTCAAGTAGATTCTAAAGGGTTCTGATGATCGTGGATGACACACAGAATTACTGGGGGTTTGGACTTTTTCCATCGTCCGGAATTTTAGGTAACAGAGAACACAACGTTTCGGAAACTGGATCTGTTTCCGTCTTCAGGTGAGAAAAGAGGACATCTACTCAGTTGGGCCCCTTAGAAGACCCTACTGACCCAACTGAGTAGGTGTCTTCCTTTCTCACCTGAAGACGGAAACAGATCCAGTTTCCGAAACGTTGTGTTCTCTGTTACCTAAAATTCCGGACGATGGAAAAAGTCCAAACCCCCAGTAATTCTGTGTGAGTGTTTACGCTTGTTCACTGCAGCTGTTCGTGTTGAAGTGCACACAACTCGGCGAAATTCAAAATCCAACCGTACGCCATTTCGTGCAACCAAAGAAAATGAAAGCATTACGAAGACAAAATCACAATATCCATTGCAGCGCTCGTCCGGATAAAACGAAACAAAACGTCATCGGGTTTTTGTTTCAAAACGCAACTCGCATTTATCGTGTTCGAACAACGCTAGTTTTAACACGAAAATGAAGCGAAAACATTAGCTCGCGGCCAAATGAACGACACGACGTTTCGGCTTGTAGAGAAAATTCGTCATTCCAATCTGAACTGTGCATAGTGTCTCGCAACCTGCCGCCTATCGACACATCTATACACGCTAGTCAAGTCAGTTTCATTCTAACATATTCGTTACTTCGGACACAAATAATTATTATGCCAGTAACTTTCCCATTCATCTAAAATCACAACTCCGATGGTGTCGTCACTGTTTACTGACGCGTAAAATGCAAATGCCAGGCATTTCTCAGAAAGCAACAATTTACAGGGATCAGTTATTTGATCCTGGTGCGTTCCTCCGCGGTGAGAGTTGGCAATGCTGAAGCTGGGACACATGTACCGACCTACCTTTCGCAGGCCTAAGTGACGACAGCGGATGTTTTGTCCAACGCTGAAGCCGGAGCACACTCACCTTGTGCGTTTCCTCGCTATATCATTTTTATACATTGAAACAACAGCTCATAAATACACACAAACATGACATGTCACTTAATATATGTACATAAACACACACTCTGTACACTCGTACAGATTCGGCCACTTATCTTTACCATCGGAATGAAAGTTAATATACATAAGATTCCACCACTTATCTCTCACCATTGAAGTGAAAGGTGGGTCAAAACAAAATTAAGTTTTGTTTTATTGAATCTCTGTCCCTCCAATGCGAGTTATTCATAGGCAGAGACCGTTAAAGTTCTTTTTATCTCTCTCCCTCTCGCACTGATCTCATTGTCGTGCCGACCGAACCCTGTCAAGTTGTCACCCTGTGTCCAAAAAAAAAAATACACAGAAATACTAAAACTAAACCCTCCTAAATGAATGTCCGTTCAGCCGGCAGAAGGCTGAACCGGACACAAAACCTAAACTCACGT